CGGCATCCGGCTCCCTCCTGGACCTGGACATCCCGCTGGCAGTGGCCAAGGAGCGGGCGCACCAGAAGCGCACCAGCAAGCGGGCACCCCAGATGGACTGGAGCAAGAAAAATGAACTGTTCAGCAATCTGTGAAGACTCCAGGGTGGGGGGTGAGGGTCTTCTGGACCCCCCCTGGCCTCGCACCCACCTCTCCTGCATCCCCCTTGTCCCTGCCCCAGGCTCCCCGTGGGGACGTGGGACTGCTCACCACCACCCTGACCTGAGCGCTGGGGCTCGGTGACATCCCCACAGTGGGGTCCTGGGTGGTGGGTGTAGGCTAGAGAGAGCTGGGGGCTACCCCCTCTCTAGGGGACCCATCCCCGGGGTGCTCCTTCAGCCCTGCCTTGAAACCCTGCACACCCTGGTAGACACAAGCAGGGCTTGGGGGTGGGGGGATCAAGGATTTAGGGTGATGCCCAACACTTCTGAGTCCTGCTGTTCCCTGGTTCTTCCCAAACCCTATCTCCATTTGAGCCCTCCCCAAACTGCCCTTTAATTGCAAAACCTGAGGCTTTTAGTGACTTTTAGTAAACTCCACCTGCCTGCCACTGACCACAGTGATTCCTCCCTGGGGTGGGGTTGACCCCTGCTTGGCAAGCTCCGTCCACGATGACCCTGTCCCTTTGCCCTTCCAGCTGCAAGGAGGGACATGGGTGCCCAGCACGGCTGGGAGCCCCCAGCACCTTGCCCCTGGGGCTGTTTTGGGAGAGGAGAGGATGTCTGGAGCCAGCACAGCAAGCAATAATCATCTCCTTTGCTCCTGCTCCCTCCTGGAGACAGAGCTGATCAGGGTTTGAATCCGACACTGTTTAATTTAAAGGCTTCTCAATAGACTTTTTTTTCCAAAATAAGAGGTTTTTTTTCCAATCACACTGTTTATTTTTTTAAAAAAAGAAACTTTTGTGGGTATTCTTCCTGTGGATGTTTTGTTTCCATGTGTTGTGATCAGGTGTTGTTGTACTGTCGAGCTCAAGAGAAATTCTGTTTACTGGAATAAACCTTCCTGACTTCACGTGTCCGGTTTAAGGCTAAATCCTTCTGAAGGCCGAGGGGGTGTGGGGCTCCTCGGGGGCTCGCTGTCCCATGGGGGCTGGGGGACAGGCAGGTAAAGCTCTCTGTGGCAGGGGACACTGGTGGGACTGGTTTGGGTGCCCCTTGGCACCTGGTGGGGCCAGGCTGGGGGGTTGGGGAGGGACCCATCTGGTCCTGGTTAATGCCTCGGGGTGATTACAGGGCTCTAATCCCTCGGGGAGCGCAGGGGGGGGAGGGAGGGTGGGGATGCAAGGCTCTAATCTGTGTCTTCTGGTGTGGCTGGAGGGCAGCAGCTTTGCAGAGGCAGCCCAAACCTGCCACCAGCCCTTCTGTGGAGGGTTTGGGGTGAGTCTGAGCCCTGGGGTTTCATCCTCAGGCTGTGATACGCCCAGGGCTCCACCACCCTGCTTGCTTCCCAGGGCTGTTTTTAAGCAGTTTTAAGAGTGGTCACAGGCATCTGTGGCTCTGACAACCAAGTGACCAGGTGCCACCATGTCCATGGGGGACCTGCAGGCTGTCGCTACCCCTGGATGCTGGGGGACCCATTTCAATGTACCTCCTTTGAAGCCATGTCCTCTGTGGAGGTGAGCCCCTGTCCCCTCCTCTCCCACCCTCACCCCCTGGGGCAAGCAGTGTGTCCCTGCCTGGGCTGGGGTGCATGCCATGGGCTGGGGGCACCCGCTGGGTCCCAGGAGCAGCTTTTGCCTCTCTGCCCAGTCAGAGCAGCCTGGAGACTGGTTCCCTGTGGGAACCCAGGTTGAGTCCTGCTGAGACAGCCCCTGTCCCAGCCCAGGCTGTGGCTCCAGGACAGACCCAACTTTGTTTTGGGTTGCCAGGGCAAAGGCTTCCCCCAGGGGCTGTGGAGGCGGGGGGGGGGGGCAG